CGAAGCATAAAAGACCAGCCTAAAAAGGAAGTATCGCTGAATGCGTGTAACACTTACGTTTCCTGCGCAATATCCGCCACATATCGGCTCTTGCCACTTCCAGAACTTTGGACAATGGACAAAATGCCATCCTGACCTTCACATGAGCTCAGCATCCCGAAAAATTGGGACACGGGCCATGCATCAATATCCGCGCCTCCATCGTATTCGAATGCCTCTGCTGATGCTTTGTTCGACTTTTCGTGGGCCTGATCCGTCTTGCGACGTGGTGGCGTTACCACAGGAGCCAGGATCTTTATCATTGGGTCTGCCACCGCCGAGTGTGTCGGTGCTAAGAGCCGGAGTGCGTCAAGCAAGTCAGTCGCTCCCTCAGGAACAGGAACACCTGTCCGCTTCAGGAAACTCAAACCGCAACAAACAGTTTCGGCATCATCCGTCGACAGAGTCGTGGGATTTACAAGCCCAGTCCACTCCATACAATTCTTTTTTTCCCCAAGAATATTTGCTTCGGCGGGGAGTAACACGCGTGTTTGTCACTCACGATTCAGACTAGTGAGCCGTCGTAACTAACTACCTGATCTCATGCTGTTAGGTCCTAGCTATCGTGCCCCGACAACTCCTTTTTATTATTCTCTCTAGACGCACTGGCATACACGATGGTCCTTGAACAACTCACCTTTTTCCCGTTTGCAATATTCCTTAAATATTCCATCACGGCGCGTTTTTCCAGGTGGCAGAGTCTGCGGGGCAAGCTATTCACAGTCAGCCGAATCCAATCACTTGAGGCTTTGTGATCTATTGTGACTGAATGAAAGTTTTCGCCGATTTGTTCATCGACGTCTTAACGGGGTCATGTAACTGTCATATTGTTTTCGGTCAGGGGTAAGGCCTGCGTCTTACACTGATAAAGGTAGGTAAAGGGTGCTAGCTCTGAACTGCAAATATTGTTTCGGGCAAGTCCTCCATGAAACACAGGCGGCCGGCCTTCTGAAGAGATGGACGGCCTTCCGAACAGGCAAAATGTAGGCCGCGATGTGGTCGGTTACCTTCCTATTCACTTGGCATCCGTCCGCAAGGGCAACCGTCGGCAAAGGTCGATTGAAAGTAACTTAGTAACCCAATTGTTGCTCCTCCACGATACCACCCGCACCCAGACGCACTAGTTCGTTGGTCGCGAGTTCATTAATCGCAAAGGTCTCTACCAACTGTGTGGTCGGTCATCATAGGTCATAATTGACATTTATGGAGGAAATATTGCTTCAAGAGAACAGGTGTTTAGAATGGTTGTTGGCACATGGAGACGAGATACTGGAGTCTAACCGAATGCTGGACGAGGCGATTGAGCGCATTGACGAGATGTGTATGGAGTTGACTAGCTTTGTTGATTCAATATCGCAATACTTGATATCGGTATCGAGCATTAACGATTCGACTACAGCATTGCTTTCGGAAGCTGAGAAGAACACCATGATAGCCGCAAAACTGAGGGAGTACTTAGCCAGCATTGTAATTAGTCCGGAAGCCGAGTGTGGGATTCGTTCCGCTCCGGTGTATACGGGGGAAAATACAGAATCGAGTGAATTTTGGGACCATGTGGAAGAACTGAATACAAAACTAAAGACCGCATTGTCGTATAATAAGGCGGATTGGAAGACTCTAGATGACGCACAGACCCAGCTTATGGGCCTCGCCGAAATTAGTGTTAAACGGATTACTCGACATATCGAAACGTCCCTTAAGGCTAATTTCATACCACATGCACAAATTGCTACGTCCAGACGAGCCTTTTATGAGACGACCAAAAAGGCGTTCGACTACCTTAGCATTAATAAGTCAATGCAGCGACCGATCATCATAAAGAGCTACGAGCATACCCTGGGGGCCCTGCACATGCAGCAAGTGCAAGACTACTTCCAACTTATCAGGGACTTGATCAAGAGATCCGCTGTGGTGGTCGATAAATACACTCTCAATCAACGATTCGCGCGACTTCAATTGAATGTGTTCGATGAAGCACTCAATGGCTTTGGAGTCGCTGATGACTCAAGTGTGGGGTTAGTTCGAACCCTGATGGATAGGGTAGGTTTGAACAGGTTCAATGATCTACGAATACAGGACGAGGGTTCTACGAATCCGACCAGCAGTACACGGGTCAACGAAAGCGAACTATGTGGCCCTCTTGAGAAGTATGGTACACGGGACCGGAACCGGAACCGGAACCGGGGGGTTACACGGGACCGGGACCGGGACCGGGACCGGGGGGGGGGGCGGGACGGGACGGGGGTGATCAAATATTTGGTGTTACAGAATTCTAGAGAGGTCTAAAATTCTCAAGGAGTATGACAAGCCGATCCCGCCCCTAAGGACTACGTTCGATACCGTTTGGGAGATGGAGGATTTATACCGCATGTGTATTAAAGCTTTGATGGATACCGGAATGGCTGAGATGGATTTTATGCATTCTTATTTTATGGTTAGCAAAGAAGACGTATCGCAAAGCGAAGCCGTTTGTGAGAGTACTGCAGGGGCTGGATTGACGTCTGAGGCGTCATCGTCGTCGCTGGGCTTTCGTTTATCGTGGGGATCGCCATTAACCTCCCAATTCGGGCGAGTGTTTGGTAAGTGTTTGTCGAAAGCGCGCATTGAAATCAAAAATTTATTGATAACTGGAAACTGGGATTTAGTGTCTTTAACCTTGATGCGAAGACTTTCGGATATATTCTTGGGTCTCGGGGACTGTACAGCTGCGGTAAAAAAGAGCGAGGCAGCATTTATGGAGAGCGTTCTTGTTACATTGAGCCAGTGTTTGAATAAGCAAATTGCGCTGGTTACCGACTCGGTTTTAAATACCATCCGTCACAACAATAAGCCTACAATGGTAGTGACGGATAGTACGGATATATTTCATCGCAAGGGCAGCAGTGTGCTTAGAAATCGTTTGCCGCACGAATCGACTGCGCCCGTCCTCGTGCAATTGTTAATCATATTGTCGATATCTGTGCCCGAGTCGGATGCCGTGAAGCAGGTGAAGGATGTTCTGCAAAACAGTTACGAGAATTTAGACCTCAATTCTCCGAATGAAAGGATTAATCTATTGTTCGATATGCAATATATTTTGACCACGCTAGAGGAATCGGCTTTGGAGGAGTTGAGATCAACGACTTCAGACTCCAGTCGCCCACTGGTCTTGGATGACGAGTCCGATGCGGACGTCCAAGGGCGGTTAGAGTGGTGGGAGGATATGATTGACTGGGCGGAGACGAAAAAAAATTCGCTTATCGACGACTTGGCGAGGACCTGCATTTCGAAAATCCGACCCGGGCTTCTTGAGACGGTACATGCAGCCGAAACCCAGTTTGAAAACTCAGGTTCCATTACAGAACCCACCCGAATCAAGCTAGCTAGATACACCAACGTAGAGTTCGAAAAAGACCTCGCCTCTATCTATCAAGTACTCACGCCACCATCTCGCCAAGAGTTAACCGACAGGAGGACTAGCTATGCTGAACAAAAAATACAAGAGTGGCAGCTGTCCTTAGCCAAAGAAATTGTCACCAAGTACGTAGTCCTCCATTCCCGACTCGTATCTGTTCTGGGCCAAGCCGAAATAAACACCGGCAGCCTGATCCAGCCCAGCGAACTTTTGGCAAACATCAAAAAGTATTTTGACTAATTTTCCAGTGATCCTTCTATGATCTTCACTACAACTGGCAGCGCGGGGGCTGGCGGACTTCCTCAGGAAATCCGAGATCTGCTGCCTGAATGTCGCGTCAAGAATCATAGAAGGATCTACGCCAACAAGTAAGCAACGGCCCTAAGTGCACCTAGCGCCCTTATTGCACTCATCCATCATGTCACTCACTGCACCGTTGGTTGATTGACACCCTACACCGTGGGGCGCAAACCGATTCAGCCCCGATTCGCGCGCACCTGTACACGCGTGTGCACACGCGTGTGCACACGCCTGTGCACACGCCTGTGCACACAGAAGCGCGTATGGCAGGCTGTGCACGATATGCCAATGCGATTATATGGACGGAGATGTGCTGAAGCGACTGCCGTGCCTGCACCAGTTCCACTCTGCTTGTGTGTTGCCGTGGCTGGACCTGTTTACGACGTGTCCGACCTGCCGGAATGACGTCGTGACAGGAGTGCACGAGTCCCTGGACCTTATAAGCGTGAACCGGTCTGCACCGTTCCCCACCCTACTTAGACGTCTGCCCGCCCCTCCACCGTCGACGACCCAGTCCGTGGCGGGACCAAGACCCATTATCGTGCTCAGCACTCGACTATCCGGCGGCATCTTCAATGTGGTTCGGCGCCTTGTCAACACCTGCTGCATGTGAGCCGCCGCGAAATGAACCAGGACTCAGAGCGCACAGGGTGCGTTTCCGTTGCTCGACAATTAGATAGTTTCATATACAAAGAACAAAGGGAAGTCAACGAATGGATAAAGGGAAGTGAATCAATGAATTAAGGGTTGACGGACTCAGGGTTAACGACCAGGGGTAATAGGTCTGTCCGGTGTTCTGGTGGATTTATGCCGTCACTCTTGTGTGCCCTCTTTTGTTCGTAAGAGTGACGTCGTCCAATGGACAAAAGGCGGCATCTAATGGACAAAAGGGGCGTCCAATGAACTAGGGAAAATGAACCAGCGAACTATCTAGCTAACTAACTGTGCGCCGGTGTCTAGAGGTTGACACAGCCCAAGGTATTGGGCACATCCCACCGGATTCGGCTTCGTCAGGTGGGCTTCGTCAGGTGGGCTTCGTTAGGTGGACTTCGTTAGGTGGGCTTCGTTAGGTGGTCCAAGTAGCTGGTTTGGTGCGTTTGCGGAGTATGGTAAGAGCGGCATAGCGGCCGAGTGTCATGACGCCGACTTGGGGGTTCATTTTCGGTAAGCGGCTGATTACCCCAGCATCTACGATGGAGAGACGACGGGTGCCGGCTACGGCGAAGTTGGAGTCTACGACTCGGCCAATACGTGCGGATCCGTACCAGTGCCACATGCTGGTGGAGGCCCTTTGGACGAAAGCGGCGACATCGTCGGCGTCATAGGGGTTAGGTAGAACGGCCGGGAAGGAGGCGTAGCGGCTGAAGCTGTTAAGGTCCTCGGGCAGTTCCTCAACGGCCACCCGTGCTTCCTGCAGACTCAGGTACGGTGTCAACATGCCCGTGATCCGTTGGAACAACGTACTCAACTTGTCTCGAATCAATACGGGACACGTGCTCCGACCACTCAGGAGTGCGGCAGTCGAGGGTGCCCCCGGGTTGAGGGTCACGGCGGGTCCGCGGTAAGACGAGGCGGGAGCTGGGTAAGAGGAGGAGAACTCAAAGACCTCGTCAAAGATGGTTGAATTGTCCAACGCCTGCAAGATGTTTGCCAGCCCGATGGTCGCCGAAACGACGTCTCGGTCGTCCTTAAAGTAGTTGCCCTGCACCGTCACGCTAGACCCATCCGGGCCACCAATGCTAACCTGACCAAGCGACTTGGGCTGAGGTAGCAAGTAAACAAGAGCTGCACTATGTCGGAAACAACTCAGGATCGGGTCCACCAATGCACAAAGCGAAAACACGCCCCGACCGCCCTCTGGTCCTGGTCGATGCGTCGCACAACCGAACAATGTGTCTAGTGCAACGTCCACAGCCGCCGATGTTCGCAACAACGGCGGAAAGAAATAGCGCGTCGCTACTCCACAACCCGTTGTCATTAACCCGCCTGAAATCTCCTCCAATCCGACCAAACTCCGACCGCTCCTAAAACCACCCATACCTCCCACCCCCTGGAAGACCAGCCGACCCTCTTCGTCCCGCACACCGTCCAGTCCGATATCCTCGTCCTGGTCCTCACCACCATGTTCCTCACCGCGCTGGTCCACATCACCCTGTTCTACATCATTCTCGCCCGCGGTCTTGCTTGCTAACCAGCGGGAGTGCTCCACAGACATGTGAGAGTGAAGCATCTGCTCCAACTCCTTCGACGAAAACGCGTGCTTATCGCGCAGGCCGTCATCCACCGATTCACGCCCCGACTCCGGCATCGATTCCGGGATGGACGCGTCCTCCGGCCCTTCCTGACCTTCGGGAGCAACTTGGTCTTGTAGTATCGCTTGGTCTTCCGAGGGGGACGGGTCTGAGATCTGTAGCAAGTCATTCAGGGCGCTCATTTGCGTTCTATAACGCGGTTTATGTCTTCCCATGCCTTCGGCATAAGGCACTTGTTCCAAGGACACTTCGGCATCCGAAGACCCCTGGTGGGTGGCCTGATCTTGGATCATCGACTCTGGGACCACAGACTCTTGGATGGGCCTCTGAGTGGTGTTTGCAAACACGGAACCTCGATTGTTGAATGTTGTGGTTGCGTCCCACAGAGCGGCCGACCTTAGGATGGCTGGGTCAAAGAGGTTTGGTATGTGCCGCTTGAAGAAGAAGGCGATGGGTAGAAAGACTCGGTCCCCCAAGTTACGGCCCAGGTGTCTAAGAGGAAGAATGTTGTGCACTCCAAGGCGTCTAGTCTCTTCAAGCGGGCCGATGCCTGACTGGTAGAGCAGGGCAGGAGTGAGGATAGCTCCAGCGGAGGATATGATCTTGGAGTCCGGGTGGTCATTGAGGCAGACCTGATACTTATTAGGGGCTGGTTTCCGTCGTTGAAACAAAGACCCAATAAAGCGCACAATGTTTGGGTACCATCGGATCCATGATCTAAGAGTGTTCTCGCTTTGCAGAATGCCAACTACGGACTCCGGCTTGGAGAGCAGAGCCACCGTCCCGGCGGTGTCTTCCACCTCGACACAGTCAGCTCTGAGGAAGCGATCCTCAAGATTTCGAACAAATGTAATTTTCGTTGCTGTCGTATTAACACTTAGGACCAGACTAGGTGGGTACTGGTCAATAGGGCCTAATAGTGTATCGGCAGACGCCCGGAACCTGGTGTTCGTCTCAAAGAGACTCATACCATTCCATGTGCGTCCTCGCACATATTCGGGAGAATTTCCAACGGAATTATTGGCGGTGATACCCTCCATAAACAGCTGTAAATGTTTATCATAGACTGAGCTATGGTCCGCCGGAAACGCTAGTCGGTCTCGAAGCCATAGCACCGATTGCTGCCAGAGGCCGCTATCCTGAAACTCCACAGTCGACTCCATATCATTGCCTTCAATGTAAAAACCTAGATTGACTGATGTACCGCCGCCAAGCACACGACCTATGTGAGAGATATAACCCTCCGTCGTCACCACAGGCTGACTAACCTGCGCGTCCATCAGGGTCGCCCCCGAACCGTCTAAAGTCCATGTCACTGGATGCTCTTCCCGAAGCCCTCCTCGCTCTATTAACAACGTCTTGTAACCCGCATCCGCCAACGTACGCGCCAAAGGACAACCTGATCCACCACCGCCCACCACAATGTAGTCAAACGTCTCCCCGGGCGCAGCTTTACGCAACATAGTAGGGGGCAATCTCGACAAAAGGAACTCGGGAAACGACAAACGTCGATTCTCGAAGATGCTCGGCAGTCCGCTGTTACTCAGCATCAGCCTCTGGAAAAGACCACTATCGCCAACTGACAAGCCATACAGAAGTTCCAACTTCACTAACCTTCCAATCATCTCTGCGCAATGTTCTCGGAACTGGTACTTATAAACCAGTTCTGTACTGTTGCACTCCCACGCGAACAAATGGCCGTAACAATCTCTTTTCTTGGTGAAGGTACGTACGGTGAATTAACCTACGTACGGTGAATTAACCCGTGGATCTATACAGTTGAATCGGCGAGGTTGAACCAGTGTGTTCGAATTTTTTTATGCTGGAAGAAGAGGATGTGTCAGGTACCCTAATAATGCAGTCACTCGCGGATGCATTGAAGGACATGCAGAAGCAGTCGCTACTGACTCGGGATGTTGCTGAGAAACTGTATGCTTACGGCATTGAGGTAGGTGCATTTGTGTGCAGCGCACACGCGCGCGTGTGGCGCACACACACTTAGTCTAGCGGATTAACTTTTGTTTGCAGACTATGCAGCGGTGTCTAGATCAGCCTGGAGCCGTTGGTAGCACGGTGCGGATGGAAGCTGTGGGGCGAATTGCCGGGTTTCGAGGTCATCGTTCGAACTGGGTTGTCTGGGCCAATGTGCCCATGATCCACGCTCGAATTACGAAGAGCGACCAACAGTCTTTGGTTAAGATCTCGTTGCGGCCAGCTCTCCGACTCATCTTACGAAAAGTACCTGCCCAAGCAACTGGCAACAAGAAAGAGTAACCGAGGGCCCCTCGAGTGAGGCACGTTTGGTTAGTGGGGCACAAGATGGTTAATCAATTGCGACCCAATGGATTGTTGAGCCCGTCGAGGGGACAGCCACGCGGCCGTGGATTTTCAGAGGACCCTTTGCAGCAGCAGCTGTTCAGGCCCCAGCTGAACAGTTCGCTACCTCGAGTTTACAAGCCGTCAGAATTACCTCCGGAAGACCTTTTAGTTCTCCTTCCAGGAAACGCGTACTGTAAGGTCTCAGACGTATACGTGCAAGATCGCAACCGAGTCCCTTCGGACACAGAGAAGGTGTATGCGGTGCCACTAGCCGGGATCATCCGCAGATATTCAACTCTCGTCAAGAACTATGAGCACCTGAAGGAACAGTGCCTGTACCTCAAGAGAGAACGGCTCCGGTCTTTTTACCAAGACTCCGCACCTGCCTATCAAGACTCCGCACCTGACCCTGCCCATGAATAATCCCTTGCTCAGATGGTTATACTCACAAGGTATCATTTACACCGCATGATGGCGCGAGCCACATGGCGCACTCATGATACCGGCCATCGATTTTATTTCTTTGCGGCCATGTCGCTAAGGTCCTGTTGTGACAGCCATGTTGCCACGGTCACGCGGTTCTATGACGATCGTGTGGTAGTACGATCCTCATAGTGTCATGGTGTATAAAAGTGCCTTTCAAGCGGTCCACGATCCGGTGTTGTCTTTTTCCTGAACTTTGTTAAATGGTACTTCGTTGGATGAGTGTCTAGTTAAAGAGCTAGTCAGAATTGTGTACTCCTTTGTATAAAAAGTGCGGTAAGGTGCGACTTCTTCCTTCGGGTGCACCAGCTCGTCGTTTTTTAGGGTAATGTATTCACCCACGCGCGTGACTGCGTTCCCTAGCATTCCCACGATCGCCAACCAGATTCCTCAACATAGGGGGCAATCGCTAGCGAATTATGCGTCTGGTGGAACTCTTGGCTTCGTTCCACAACAGGATTCCAGCCAAGGCGAGATGTCAAGGGCCACTGCCAATATGATATCTGGTGGAGGACTACCTGGTGGAGGATCACTTGGTGGAGGACCGACTTCAATGCCGATACCAAACGGTATCAATTCAACAGCCATGAATCCCGTTACCATTAATAACGCGAGTCCTTACATACGTGGATTTGGTGGTTATGGCAGCACGAATAGTGGGACGTTGAACACGTGTGGAAGCGCAAGTTCTGCACCCGGTTATACGTCCCAGCTAATTGCGCCTCAGCAACTCCCGGAACGCGGCAGCCGGCGAAATGGTCCGGTTGCCTTTTCACCTGACTCTCTACCTATCCCATGCGCCTATATCAAGTTACCCTGGCCCCTGTCAAGGAAGATAGCACGTTTACTGCCACCCAAGGAAATTCCCACCGGTCCTACTGATATACATCGCCAGTATATTAAGCGTATGATAGTTGAAGAAGTTTGTGTAGATCCCGCAGCCTTTTTGCTGCGATATTGCCATTACAGCGATGCCTCAAGTCCTCTGGAGACTAGACTAGAGTCCGACTCTCGGCTTAATATATTTCACTACTGCCGAGAAATCTTTCCCAGCATACAAGTCATGTCTCTGCAGCACCAGGGAGCGGAATTTGACGGTTCTGACGGCGACACTCTTGGTAGCACACGCGTGTGCGTCATAAATCAAAATTCGATCAACGACCGGATTTTTACTGTGCATCATTTGATTGAAAGCTGGAGACGATTACCGGTTGAGTACGAGCTGTGGGAGAGTCTATGGGTCTCGCAGATAGTCCCGAAAGTAGTTGAATATTTTCAATGTGGCCATACGGTTCCCACTCACCTGGCAATATTATTGGACTGCAGTGTTCACAACAGGGACTGGCAGCCGCATTGTATGAGGCTTGTTTCTCATATGATTGCCCAGATTGTTTCCGTGGCGCACTCGTGCATTCCGATGTATTTGAGACCGAATCAAGACGCGTTGGGTTTTGCCTCCTTCCAGATCGTGGTTATGCCGCCCACGAGGTTTAACGAAGCGGTTGCTCAGTTGCGCATACGGAACGATTTGGAGCGAGCAGGCGACTGCTATCTTTTGCCGGCCAGCGGAGGCAAGCAGGCTGAGGGTGCAATTTCGAGCGTCGCGAACGGAAGTGCGGCGCTGGGCTATAATCCCGGATACGATGCGTCTGGACGTAGTGCGCCTGGGTACAATGCCTCTGGAGAACACTACGATGACGGTACCGTGATCACCCACCACTCTCAAAAGATTGTCAGCGGAACAAGCAAGTCCCATAAACATCCCTTTTGCGGCTTCAACAGCGCGTCCACGACCTCGGAGACCGCGCCCCCTAACAAAGGCAAGAAGCTCCTCCCATTCTGATTCTTTTTCTACAGGCAATTTTTGGCACCGAATCATGTGCTGTCTGCAGCCAGACACCCACAACACAATTCAACAGCCCAGCGAGAACATTTTCCCCGACCACACTCCTCCACTGCTTATGGATGCTGTCCTAGAGGATGACGAATCCACTGTGGTCAGTAGCGAACGTGGGCTGCCAACCTACTTCGTGCCTTCGACCGTGGGCATGGCTTGGCGACAGAGAAATGCCGTTTACCAGACCGGCATCACGGTCCAACTCGACAACGACCGTCGTCCAGGGCCGGGGTCGCTCGCTACAACCGAGGAGGAGCAACGACCCGTGAAATCGCCGGTCTTGCCCGCCCGAGTTCTGAACCTGCGGGGAATGGAAAACCTGCAAGGATGCGAGCGGGCACCGCACCAAGGCGTGCCGCATAAAAGCCGTACATCCTCAGCCGGCGAGGACTTTGGTTCCTGGGCCCCGCAGGTTGGAGCCCACTCTAGTACCCAGGCCGGAGCCAATCCAGGTTGGCCGGGAACCAGACTAAAGGCTGAGCCTTGGGCAAATGGGCCCCGGGCGGCTGAACCCCGGGCGGTGGAGTTAGTGAGTAGACCTGCGGCCTTGTCCAGAGGTACCATGCCGGCCAGCAGACATTGCATGCAAATGTCAGGGCTCCCGCTGGCGGGAAGTAACACGCTTTGCCACGTCGCTGGAAGCAAGCCAGCCTCGTCGAACCCCATGTGCTCGTTCGGCACTGAGCACCACCGTGTTGCTAGAGAACCGGCTATGACCAGGAAGACCATCAAACCGAGAATTTCTTAGACAGGGGGAATAATTATGCGATAGATGTCCCTAGCTGCATCAGCCAACACTGCCGATTTACGATACCCGGAAAGTACCAGTCATTTGCGCAAATGGATTGCGTCTTCGAGGACAGAGCTTCAACGCATCAAGGAGGTCTTCTTCAGACGGAGTCTGGTAACGCTAATTAAAGAAAAATCGGAGTCCTCCGAAACCAATGAAGCTCAACAAAAGATCTCTAGCTGTCCCATTACCGTAAGCTGACACCACGTACTTGACCACGTGCCCGTACTTGACCACGTGCCCGTACTTGACCACGTGCCCGTACTTGACCACGTGCCCGACCGTGTGTCCTTGTATGTTGTTGTTGTAGTTGGAGAAGCAGTCGGACTTGGTGGCGTGGTTTGTGCGTAACTTGATGGACATCATGGGTGCGCATCAGTTCGACTTCCGGATCGCGGATACATGTTTAGCTTTTTATACACGGTTCTACTTACGCGAGTCAGTGGGTCGTTACCCGCCTAATATCTATTTGTTCACTGCGTTGATAATGGCGATTAAGTGCGAGGATGCGGTTGGCGAGAACCGGTCGCCGTCTCGATTATTCAACGGGATGGGTAAGACGACGGCGTTCCATGAAGCGCTGGGGAACGAAGCGATTTTGTGTCAGGCAATCCAGTTCGACTTCCGCATTTTGCATGGAGATGCACCTCTGACCCACCTCGTCAACTCCTACTATGGTTTCCGGAAAAAGAATCGACTGCTTACCGTCCCTGCCGTGAATTTCGAGTCACGTGTGGCCGCCTCCCGTGGGGCTGGAACAGCAACTGGTGAGAAGCCGGCGGCGGGGGAGGAAGAGATCTTTGTAGAATGGTTGGGTCAGTTACAGACGGCGTGTGAGAAGCTATACTTGCAGTTGTACGCATCGGATACGCACTTCCTATTCCGTCCGGCGGAAGTCGCAACCGGGGTATTCCGACACGTACTCAAGACACGTTACCAGCTAGCTGACGCAGACGACTTCCTCACCAACTTCCTTAACATCGCCGCCAAGGGCGACCCTGAGGCCGCAGCGCGACTGCGCAAAACCGTCGACCACACCGCCCATGAAGCATACAAACAGGAGACCTTTATGGCATCCTACAACATGGACTACTGGAGACCCAAGATACAGGAATATCTCAAAGAAGCCCGAAAATGGGCAAGACAACTCGAACGAAAACGACCATTAGACGCAACCCTCGCAGACGCCAAACGAAACAAAGCCGCCGACGAGCCCCGACCCGACCCCGCCGCAGCAACTGCCCCGTCTCAGACAGCCCCGGAGACAAAAAAGCTGGTCACCGAGGCCGCGCTGGTTTCGGACGTGGCAATGGTTCCGGAAACGACAGCGGCAGCACCAGCGCCTCCAGTGGCTGAAGAGAAAATGGACGCCCAAGACACCCGTATGGCGACGGAACTGCGGTAGCTCCGAAGCCAGCAGAGCTCCGGGACCTGAGAGCTCCTGGCGGGGCCATATTATCTCTAGGACCACGGTAGCTCCGGGGCGGGGAGGTTTAATGAATTGTTGCCAACCATATATGGGTCGGCTGGCAGACAGAATGAGTCCACGGGTCAATGCAGTGTTCTGACGGGCTGGCCGAGGCAGGGAGGGCGGCCTCGTGACAAAACGGTCGGAAAAAAATTAGGGGCTTTTTGGTCCCCTTAAAGGCTTCCAGCAACACAGCATGGGTGGTAAGTAACGGCACGAGGATAAAAGCAGCGGAACGAAGACCTTGGCGGCCCTGACGGTCCCCGAGGCTGAACGGGTCTCGCTGAACGACTGCACACACACGTATTCGCCGGAGCGGCCCCGTCGCGCAGCGCGCGCGCGCGCGGAGGAGGCTCCCCACCGCACACAAGTCCCCGCCGCATATGGCGGTGACCCACAGGGATTGTGATATTTGGTTTGTGTAGGTATTGCACGCGGTATCAAATGCGCTCGCAAGTTGAGAACTCGTCGCAAGACCCAGAAGTGGGCCGATAAGGCTTACAAGAAGGTTGCCTTGGGCTCCCGTTGGAAGTACGATCCTTTCCAAGGTTCTTCGCACGCGAAGGGCATTGTTGTGGAGCGGTTGGGTATAGAGGCCAAGCAGCCCAACTCGGCGTCGCGTAAATGCGTGCGCGTCCAGTTGGTTAAGTCGGGTAAGAAGATCACCGCCTTCGTGCCGCGCGATGGTTCCTTGAACTACATCGAGGAAAACGACCTCGTCCTCGTCTCCGGGTTCGGTCGTTCCGGCCACGCCGTCGGTGATATCCCGGGTGTCCGTTTCAAGATTGTCAAGGTCGCCGGTGTCTCTCTTCTCGCCCTCTTTAAGGAAAAGATCGAGAAGCCCAGAGCATAATTTTTTTGCACAAACTGCTAACAGTTCCCATGTCAGAAACCAGCCTGAATGCCCAAACGCTACCCGGCCAGTTACCCACTGTCGGCCGATCCATTATTGGCCAGAATGATAGCTGGATTGTGAGGCTAATAAGGGAGCCTCTACAACTTAATGGTTCCACAACACTGGTTGCTCAGTACTGTGACATGCAAGGCGTGAGGCATTACCATATTGGTCGCTCTCCCAAACGCAATCCCCTGGCTAACCTGACCTTCTGTCAAAAGTCCGACAATTGTGTCGTTGCGACTACAATTCAAGACTCTGCTCCCGAATTGCCCACAGGAGAATCAATCCGGGACTTACTAGGTACCCCCTCTCCCCCCCCTCTCCTCCCCTCCCGTCGACCACGAACTATCACCTAGCCACACCCGCCAATCCCTGTCGCTTCAGTTGATGCGACGCCAGACAAACAAATTTTGTTAACATATGATGTGCCAATGTGTGCTCCATACGAACAAGACGTGAGAATGTTTTTGGAAGATGTGGTTAAGAAAGTGAGGTCTCTAATCTTAGTGGGAGGAAATGCGTGATATAAGCGTGGTCAAGAACTTTACTTCAGGATGATTTAATGGAGGATTCGATGGTTCGGGTAGAGAGCTTTTTTTCATGGATGAGTAAAAAATATGGATGTCGTCGCGCTGGAAGACACATTGGATTTAAGTGACAACATTAGAGATGCTGTACAATATCTGACCAATAGCTGTAGTTTGAACAGTCTGATCGTACATACTTTGTTTCCGTCTAATAGGATAATGGATAGCCGGCCGCTCGGTTCGGGATCGTCGTCGTCATGTTCGTCGTCTATTGAAAATGACTGGAAATCTTCCCTGCTTGTTGCGGCTGGGTCAGGTGTTAAGGACAATGGCAGTCCCCCATCAAGCAGCAGAGGGATGCTAAGGGCGGTTGTTGGTGACGGAGATAGTAGGGCTAAGCATTGTTCCAATAATGTTTCGAATGTTACTACAGTACTTCAGATCCTGCGAGAGAATGTCTCCGGCTTCATGCAAAAAGTTATAGATCGATGTAAAAAAGCCAACGACCCCCAAGCCAACGAGCTGCTAATTGCCTGGATAGGAAGGTCTACCTGGAGAGTTAACGACGACCCTATTCTTGCGGGGCAAACATTCCCAGCCATATGCAATACTCATAAAGACGCAGAAATGCTCTCGGCCAAAATGCTCGTGGCCCATTGCCGCAAAACAGGCATGAGCGAAGTCGCGGGCAAAATACTGGAGTGGCTGCGAACCACCGGTAGCCAAGATCGAAGCGATGAGGAGCCAGTAATCACCGTCCTAGACCCTCAGCGAATGGCCGTCTGCCTGGTTGTAGAACTAATAAATGCGCTTGGCTGGGACCCGAAATACAAAAAACTAATTCACCTGACCGACAAGGAACTCGTCAAACCAATTCTCTCGATACTAAATGAAAACGACGCGGCCGCCGCACACGTGTGTGCGCAATTAAATTTGCTTCCTAGATTTACTGCAAAACTCATACTAAAGCAAAAATCGGCCCGAAAAGATGACGCTCCGACGGTGCTTATCGATGAAGGCATCGATACTGTGTTGGACCTCATTATACCTGCGTCAGCGTCCCTTACGACTTTGTGTACCTCCATCTTGAATACGTGCTCCAGCCAATGGTGGGAATCGCATGATAACCTCTTGACGCTGGCGGATTTGGTGAGTACCAGACGTCCTACAGTTCCATTTGTACCGTTGTTGAAAGCCGTACTCCTGGAGGATTTTGACCAATTGGATATCGCAATTGAGGAGGCGTTCTTCCTCTACGCCTTGTCGGAAGTGATGGGAGTGAGTTTTGAGCCGAGGAGGCGGGCCGCCATGACGCCAATCGAGATGGCCAGTGAAATGACTGGTGTTACGAGCGCTGCGTGGTCACGCCAGCTTCTGAATTGGGTTTGGTCGAAAGGCATACAGACATTGGGCATATGTACGCCGACTACAGCCCGATTGAAGTGTCTGGTGGTGCAGACGGCGACTGCGATGCAGGAGGTTTCTTTGTTGGCAGCTGCCGTGAACTCGAGTTCTTTACCTCCTCGAGTTTTGTGGAAAGCTTTGCTGCAGGCTGCTCGCAACTCCTTCGATAGTGCGCCGCCCAGTCTGGGCCGATACGTCTCGCCAGAGCTGTTGACCGAAGGCGGTGCACGCGTAGCTCACGCCATGACCGTGTTCGACTTTTGGTGGAACGGGTTGTTCCAAGAGCCCGGCCGCTGGAGCTTACTTGCACGGAACCGAATGTTGCTGGCAGAGTACGGCGTTCTCCACATCAACTCATGCACCCAGTCGACGGTGCGCCCCTGGGACGACAGTGTCATACGGCTATTGGATGACGCCCTGCTGCCTGGGACCCTCTTCCCAGCCGCCGCGCCCGAAACGACGGAAAAGACGGCTGTGCCGGGAAGTGATGCGTTCGCCCCTAGTTGTGCTGACTTCCGGTTCGGCGTGCTCTTCTTTTGCGTGACGCAGAGGCCCGCCCTGGCTCTGCAGTTGGTGGGGGCCGCACCGTGTCCAGCGCCGCGGTTGCTGTACACGCTTTGGAATGAGCACGAGGGTGGCGCGCTGCACTGGGGCGACGCATGGGGCGGTTTCTTGGACGTGTTGTTGACCACGTATTGCAACACGAGCGAGGTTAGTTTGCATATCATTTCGGTGTGTTCGTTGCTCTCCATGTTGCCGAGCTGGCATGCGCTGCTGTTACTGTCGTCTGCGCTGGTGACTCAGATGGTAGACGTGAAGCAGCTCCCGCTGTCTTGGGACCTGCCGGTCGTGCGCCCCAGTCCGGCTTACGTCTGCGTGGCCGGCACGTGCGGCCGTGACATGCCGCACGTCCTGGCGCCGCTGCTGCGCGAGTTCTTGGAACCCGGCAAACTGCTCTCGGTGCATGCGGCCAAGGAAATAATGAAGGTCATGGCCGGCCGACCAGAGACGGTGGCACCACGATTGACACTGGAGGCCTCGCTCAAGTCGGTTTACGAGTCGGGCAAGAAGCTGCACCTCTTGGGCAAGGCGCTCTGGGAGTCGGTGCGGCTGCTCGTGCTTGACCAGTCGCAGGTCTCTCGAGAACTCGAGGAGCAGTGCCGTCAAGAGCTTAGCAAATGCCTGGAGAAGACCGCCGGGACCACCACGCATCACGTCTCCCTCTCCAGCACCATCTGCGACATCTGCGGAGACCTCCTCACTCACCACGAACCGGTGGCCAACCTCCTACCACTCGAGACGGCGGCGCTCAAAGGCAAAGTCTGCGCCCTTGACTGCCGCCACAGGTACCACGCACTATGCCTCCGCTCGCTCGCCATATGTCTCGCTAACCAAGACGGTAACTCCACCCCTCGTCCC